GAATGCAACAACAAAATACAACGTCAAACTCACTTTAGCCTATATATAAAACATATGACTTTTATTAACAAAAAAAATAAAAAACACACCTCTCCTCACTGGAGAAACAAAATCTGATCTGTGATGCGACTGTCGTTCGGCACGCTGCACTGAGCAGCCACGTTCAGTTTTTAAGTGTAGTGTCTGTTCTTTTACTAAACTAAATGATTTTTATTACTATAAAAAATCAAAACGACGGTGGGGGTCAGTGCCGCAGTGGGCAAGTGACGTAACCGGTGTTGCGGCTTAACACTTGTGACCGGTATCACCGTCAGCACCGTCTATCGCGGCAAGCCTAATATATATAGGTGCAATATTTAATATAGTAATATACTTTTATACTTTTATAGTACACTTACGCTGTTATAATGTGTATATTATCAGTAGTAATATACTTCTAACGTAATTTACTTATAATTTAAGTAATTTCAGTGGTGTGGTGGTATATATACTGTATATACATACACTAATTTTGTGAATTATCGATAGCGTAGTGTAATATTCATTTTCATTGTACTTTTTATGTTATTATACCACATATTACAATATTACATTCTACTAATATAATACTTGTTATTTAAAGTATACTGACATGTACATTAATTTTAAATAAAATATGGCAACATTTTCTATGTGTGGTGCCACAATATTTAAACTTTTTAGATTTTACAATATCTACTTTTCAATTGCTTTCAACTGCTTGTAGTCTCTGCATATTAAGCTGGTACAGAAGATTGTTGATTCAATATCAAAATAAAATGACAAATTTCATCATCAAACATGCTTACGCTGGGTTTAAACAAGCAACTCTGCAAACATCTTCCATAACACAGGCTTGTAAGACAGATTGTTCTTGGTCCTGTGTATCCCTGCGGAGCAGAAGCTGATCGGGTCAGCGACCGAGTGTAAACCAAAACCATCTTTCTTCCAGGCTGACCAGACAGCAGTGTTCCTGGGTAAAGATTTTTTGATGGCCAGCAAAGCCTGGGAGAGTTGAATAGTTATTAAATACGCCAAAGAAAGCTAAAGGCATCGCAGGAAGAAGGCAGATTTTAAAGTGCCACTGGAACACACAGCACTTACTTTAGTTTGGATGTGTGACTCAAATAGGGAGCTATTGAGTTCAGTTAGGGCCATTGACTTGTGAGCTTTCATCTCTTTTTAACATTGCAATGCTTTTGTCAAGTTGTTTTATATGGCTTAACTGGCATAAAAATATCTATTTACAGAACAATCTGCATTAATGTTGCCAAGCTACACTCCCAGCATTCTCTGCAGTCTTGCTACGAGCCAGTCAATGAAAGGTCACTTGGCTTCCCCTGACGGCTCGCACTATTAGCACAGGGACTGTTTTTGATAATTTTTGAGTGAGTTATTTTTTATTTACACCTTTTTAGTTTTTTGACAGCCCGCCTGATTTCATTGTTTCCTCCTTGTGTATCAAAGAGTACTCGCTGTCTCTTCTCCTCTTTGTATATTGGGGCGTCAATCAATTATTTAAATAAATAACAGGTAATTGCATAATAATTAGTCTATTTAATCTAAAATAATAATTCTAATAATTTTACAAAAAGTGACTTCAGATGTGTGTGTGTATGTGTGTGTTATATAAAGAATAAATTTGCTGTACTAATTAATTGTCGTAATTTAACATTAAATGGACAGTCCTAATATGTATATGTGTATATAAACTCACCGGCCACTTTATTAGGTACACCTGTACAACTGCTTGTAAATATCTAATCAGCCAAGCACATGGCAGCAACTCAATGCATTTAGGCATGTAGACATGGTCAAGATGATCATCTGAAGTTCAAACCCGACATCAGAATGGAGAAGAAAGGTGAATTAAGTGACTTTGAACGTGGCATGGTTGTTGGTGCAAGATGGGCTGGTCTAAGTATTTCAGAAACTGCTGATCTACTGCGATTTTTATGTGCAACCATCTCTAGGGTTTACTGGGAATGGTCTGAAAAAAGAGAAAATATCCAGTGAGTGGCAGTTCTGTGGGTGAAAAAATGGCTTGTTGATGTCAGAGGAGAATGGACAGACTGGTTCAAACTGATAGAAAGGCAAGAGTAACTCAAATAACCACTTGTTACAACCGAGCAATGCAAAAGAGCATCTCTGCACGCACAACATGTCGAACTTGAAAGAGATGGGCTACAGCAACAGAAGACCACACCGGGTGCCACTCTTGTCAGCTAAGAACAGGAAACTGAGGCTACAATTTGCCCGGGCTCACTAAAATTAGACAATAGAACATTAGAAAAAGGTTGCCTGGTCTGATGAGTCTGATGAGATATTCAGATGGTAGGGTCAGAATTTGGCATAAATAACATGAAAGCATAGATCCATCCTGCCTTGCATTAATGGTTCAGGATGCTGGTGGTGGTGTAATGGTGTGGAGGATATTATCTTGGCACATTTTGGGTCCTTAGTAGCCTACCAATTGAGTATCGTTTATACCCCACAGCCTACCTGAGTATTATTGTATGTATGTATGTATGTATATATATATATATATATATATAAAGAGAGACTCAGCATACAGCAACAGAAGACC